GAACCCCAGAGACCCCCCAAACTCAGCACACAGAGACCCCACAGGGAGGAAGGCCCGGGGGTCCCCTAAAGTCCAGCAGTGGGGTTTGGGGGATCTCCCAGCCCACAGGGAAGGAGTCTTGGGGGTGCCTCCCGAAGTCCTGGAAGGAGATGTACCACATCCGGGTAAGGGGATCCCAGTGCTCCCAGTATAGCCCAGTGACCTCCCAGTGACCCTCAGTACGGCCCAGTAACCCCCTCAGTGACAACCCAGTGTGTCCCAGTGACCTCCCACTGCCCCCCACTATGGCCCAGTGATCCTCCAGTGAGTACCCAGTAACCCCCAGTGTGGCCCAGTAACCTGCCAGTGTCTCCTCGTGTGTCCTGGTAATTCCCCAGTAACTCCTGAGTCCCACTCAGTGCCCTCCCAGCATCCCTCAGTAACCCCCCCATCCCTCCCAGTGCCCCCTGGTTCCCCCCAGTGTGTCCCAGTATCCCCCAGGAACTGGGGACATGGGGAGGCCCTGGGGACATGGGAGACACGGGAGACACCAGGGGGGTCTCAGGGTGTCAAGGGGGGAACTGGGGACACCAAGAGGGTGCTGGGGACACCAAGGGGGGTTTCTGGACTCACCTGCTTGTGGTGCTGCCACTCCTCTCCTCCTCGAGACCCCATTAGCCCCCCCCAAATGTCCCCCAACACTCCTTTTCCCTTTAATCCCCTCCCCCCACAGATTCCTTTGACCCCCCAATACCTCCAAGAACCCTTTTAACTCCCCCAAATGCACCCAAAGCTGCCCCCAAACTCCCAAATCCCCATCCAAACTCCCCCAGATCCTCCCAAATCTCCCCCAGCTCCCCCCTCAAATCCCTTCCAGCCCCCCCAAAGAGGGATCACCTGGCACCCTGGGACAGGAACACAGTGGGCTGTACTGGTGGCACTGGGCTGTACTGGGAGGGCACTGGGGAAGCTCAGGTGTCCCATGACAATGTGGCCCAGCTCCAGGAGAGATCCAGGGAGCAGTGAAGAGGTCCTGGTCTGTCCTGGTTTGTACCCCCAATCCCCAAAGCCCCTCCTCAGCTCCCCCAGGACCCTCCTGGACCCCAAAGCCCCCCAGGCCCCT